TTTCTCTGAAAATATGAGCTCTATGATAAAACTTGAAGCGAGCCTGGGGTTTTATAGGGGGGAAAACGACGATTGGTTTCCTTAGGCAAGCGATCTTGGGCGAGATATATTTCTTGCCATTGATTGTGACCATGTGTCGTTAATCTACGAGAAAAAGTAACCTCCACGCTTCGTGAATGCCAATCGACGCTTCCCTCCATTGGAGCTACCAAGCATCTGCGCGGTTATCTCCTCCACATTAAATGTGCTCTCATCCGCATTTAATGCTCTAAAAGAGAATGTCGTTTCAGCATGACTTACATTTAATGCGCATGGCTAGCACTTATTGCGCAATAGACATGTCTGTCAAAATAAAGATTATTTTATTGACCAGACTAGCTGTCAAGCGCAACGGATAACATCTGAAAAGGTCGTTCAAGTAAAATACTCTTCACTGTGTATCGGTTTCGAGACCATGTGATTCCTTGCTTTCGGTAAAAATGTGCTAAGTATTCTCAGGTCGCAAGCTGCGGATGAGATTCAAAGCACGTTGGTATGGCACTGAGTAGGGTCTGACCCAGGTTGTTGAACCTATAGGAGAAGGCCGACTCAGGTCGCTTATGCTATTCTTAGAGACCTATTCTGCAACCTCCTTGTGGCTCGATTCGCTTGACCAAACGTCATTTGGGACAAGTCAAGTTGCGGCATAATCATGAAGTTCTCAAGGTTCAATCCTTAAACCTTAAAAACTAGGGGGCTTTTGTTATGCCTAAAAAGTCAAGGCTGACGTGGACCCTCATCAGCAAGACCCAATCAGAATTCAGGAAGGCTTTGTGCTGTCAAGACGTTGCCATGTCGCGCAATGACGAAAGAGGTATGGTTCTCATCAGTGCAGCAGGTGAATGCCAGACTTGCAAGTGGCTAGGAATCGTCCACCTGCCCAAGCCCTACGGAATTTAATGATGTCTCTTGTGCAGACAACCAATGGGAAGCGGGTTCGGAATTGTACCACACCTGCCGGATTGCAGACTCATGATTATTACCTTGAGTCCTCCTACTATAAATAAAGGGCTTCTCTTTTATTTATGGGATTGACTTACCTTTAGTCTTAAACAGCACACACACACACACACACACACACACACACACACACACACTCTCTCTCTCTCTCTCTCTCTCTCTCTCTCTCTCTCTCTCTCTCTCTCCATATATATATATATATATATATATATATTCTCTCTAGATTGTAACTCAACTCGCTACATGCGACCTGACTGTAACCATCTATTAATACAACTACAGTGGACGTAGGATTCTCTTTTGAGCATCCGAACCACTTTAAAAACCATCTTTTATTTATTCTCTTGCTCCATTTTTCATATCACATGTAACTTCTAAGCCTGTTTAACACTTTGCATGTGTGAGTCTTTGGTGTCAAAATCAAGCATCAACACTCTTCATGGAAATAATTTAAGTGATTAGATTATATCTTGTTTACTATACAATTATTTTGTTCATATTCTTAAATATAAATACAAAGATGACATAAGAAATAAAACAATAAATGCATCAGAATGAGTTAACTTAGTAAGTTTGGGCAATACAACACTTACAACTCAATCTCATAAACTTTCTCTCACAACCCCGACGTGGCAACTCATAATTAGTTAGTTTGCAGTAGATCTTGCTTACCCAATTGAGGGTTCCACCTGTCCAATTGCAAGCTGCCACGTAGGGGTTGTGAGAGAAAATTTGTGGGATTAGGTTATCAGTCAATCTTTGTTGAACAAGTTTTAGGGAAATTTCTATAAACCCCCATGTGTTTAATGAATTCACTAACCGCTAACTAGTTCTAGAAATAGGAACCCAACCCCTATTTTGTCCAAGTCTGATAGTGAACATCCATTGCTCAATAGAAACGACAATTTTAACCTTTTCCAACCCAAACCCCAACCCCCAATACTTTAAAAAATGACACTTTGGTCCTATACACAAAATTTTCATTACATAGCCATTGTGGCTGTTGTTCATGGTGACTCTCAAAACCTTCGGGCTGTCGTTAAAGACCTTTTAGGCCTTGGGGAAGCAGCTGGAGGCCACCATAAGCCTTGGGGCAACTAATAAAGGCATGGAGATTCGCGAGAGCCGCGAAAAGGTTTGGAATGGCCTTTCGACATTGGCAAAAGCTCAATATGGCACTTTCTAGAGCCATAGAGGCTGGATCTAGCCTTTTCTGAGGTCGAGAAGCCAGATAAAGTCTTGGCATAAGTGAGGCCAAATCTGGCTTGCTGACATCGTGAGAGGTCGTATTCGGCCAACCTGGTATCGTTAATTAAAGGCCATATTCGGCCAAGCACAAAATGTATGTTTAAAATATAAACAAGGATACTTTTGTCATTTTTCTTCTAATCCATCATCCGCTTGCTAACCTCACCTAACTTTCCCGAGAAAGTAGAATTGAAAATTCAACTCTTGGGTTTTTAAGGTTTCCAAAAATGCCTAGGATGGAAAATTGATGTGGAATCTGTACCACCAATACACATCTAGATGAAAAATTGATGTGGAATCTGGACCACCAATACACATCTAGATGAAAAATTGATGGGCTTTTAGGGTTTCCAAAAATGCCTCATCTGGCCTTGGGAAAGCTCGTTAGGGCTTTGCTGGTGGTGAGAAGGGAGGAAGAAGAGGGAGGGAGGGAGGGAGGGAGAGAAAAGAAAGAATAAGGGAGAAACATAAGAAGAAGAAGAAGAAGAAGAAGAAAAAAAAGGGAGAAAAGGTGAGAAAAAAATAGGGTTTGGTTAGGGACATGAAAAGTCATGAATGCCCTTACTTTAAATTCAAAATAACAAGTTTATCTAACTTCTAGTTAAGTTAACCGAAATTTTTAATGGAATGGAGGCTAGAGTCCAATTTCCGAAACCAATGGGTGCTTTCAAATTCTTCAAACGCATGGGGGTTTAATAAAATTTTTCTAAATTTTATTAGAAGTGTGTAATGGGCCTTGAGATTTATCTTGGGTGAATTGATATACAAGATTATTTACAAGTATAAAAAAATAAATCAGGAGATATATAAATTTTTTTAGTAGAACGGAATCAAGTTAGTTGTTTAATAAAGCTAGTGACTGTTAGGGCCAAAAATCGTCCTTGGCCTAAATAGGAAAACAGGACCACCAGTGAAGAAAAGGCTAGAACCAGTCCTAAAGAGGCCCAAGCCAAATTAGTCCCATTTGATACGAGAGAAGGCCGACCCAAACCATCGGGCACGGGCCTCCCAATTCTAGCTCACTTCATGGGCCTGTAGGCGAGTTCAGAGCCCATGGCCCTCACTGATCATTTTCCTATTCCTGTTCAATCTCCTATTCAAAGTGACTTTCCTGTTCCTGGTCACTTTCCTACTCAAAGTAACTTTCCTGTTCAGATCACCTTCCTATTCGGATGCAGGTAAGACAGCTCACCATTGCCTTAACTTTTCTAGGGTTTGCATCAGAGTTACACTCGGACTCCTACTCCTACTAGGATTGAGAGACCAGATAGTCACTATATAAATAGAGGTCAACCGTCTCACAAAAGACACATTACATATCACCTTCACACCTGAAGCTCTGACTTGAGAGCCTCACATCACTGCCGTAGTCATAGTCCCCGACTAGACTTCCGGTAACATCTCTACTCTCTAGCCCTCACTATACTAACCTCTTTCAGCCTTGTTGACTTGAGCGTCGGAGTGCCTATGGCAAACACCATCCTGGTGTTTCCCGTTCGCTTCACGCGTTTGTTTCTCTACGTGTGCAGGTGCAGCGGATTGCTGGTGGCCTCAACCTCACGGGATCAGACTCCCCTTCCGTACGGGTAGATTTTTTCATCTACAGTTTGGTGCCCACCGTGGGGCCTCTAGCAATCATTCGACTCAACGAACCCTGCTACGTAGAGGAACTTTCCATGGCTGACAATTCCAACAACGCTAATCCCGGCCTCGAGGCCAAACTGGAAGCTCTAACCGCTCTCATGCAATAGAACTCGGACAAGGTAGCCGTATTGGAAGCCAAGAACAATGCGATCTGGACAGAAAACGCGTCCATCAGGTCAGAAAACAAGTCTCTTAAGGAGAAGGTTAGTCAATTCTACGATCTAGAGTTCCTGTCTGGCCAAGCACCCCCCAATCGGTTCCACACCCATGTTCCGTCCATGCAACCTCTCCTTACGCCAAAGCACCGACCCTCGATCTTCAGCAAAAGGCCGCATCTGCTAAACCCTTCTACGGTCGACGACTCTGTCCTGATTCATGGAGATAAAGATATGCCTATAGAACATCATTTAGCCAATTCATCCCAACATCAAGATCAAGACGATCCGGTGGCAGAAAGCCCTCATCCACAAGACCAGCCCAATCTAACCATCCCACCTTACATCCAGTTGACCATCCCAACATATACTCGGCTCGGCTCGGCTCATCCTCACGGGATGAATGGCCAAACTAAACAAACAGCACCAGAGCCCATCCATCCTGACCAACCGAATGACTATCAGAGGACTCCCCTGACCATCCATGTAGGGCGAAACACTAGAACAGTTACCATGGGAGTCATCCAACCAGAAGGAATGACCGAAGATCTATGTTACTAGGGAACGCATGAAGGAACAACTTGTTAGACTATCCCACGAGGGATGACCCAACAGAATGTACCAAAGTCAATTGCAAAGGCTGACCCGGTCATGCGGGATGACCTAGTGGTGTCCCCTTCTCCTATGGAACATGTATTAGCTAAGAGATTAGCCGATGTGGAAGCAGTGATGCGACGCATTCCAGGAATGCCGATCCCAACTAAGAAGAGCAGGCCCCATTGTTATGCAGATTCACCATTCGTGGATGAGATCACCCTAGCCGACATGCCTCAGAAGTTTACTATCCCCAACATGAAACTGTACGACGGCGAAACCGATCCGAATGATCACATAGCCTCGTACAAGCAGCAGATGTTCACCGTCTCAATACCCTGACCACTTAGGGAAGCCTGCATGTGCAAAAGTTTCTGTTCGAGCTTATCTGGCCCAACACTCCAATGGTACACGAATCTCCCGAACGGATCCATCAATTCATTCGCTCAACTCACCGACACATTTGTTGAACAGTTCGCCAGTAGCAAGAAACTCGAGAAGCTGTTGGTTGACCTATACAGAGTATACCAGAGAAGGGGAGAGCCACTGAGAGAGTATGTTAGCAGGTTTAACAAAGAGAAGATCTCCATCCCTGCATGTAACCTTGAGACAACCGTAGATGTCTTCAAGAAGGGTCTCCTCCCGGACGGAGAGCTATACAAAGAACTTACAAAGCTGGGTTACACCACAATGAAAGATGCCCTGGCCCGGGCAGTGATCCAAATAAGGTGGGAGGAGGATGAGATAAACCAAACGATTTACTCCAGATACGATTCAAGGTGGAATGACATGAAGCCAGAACACAGGCCAGTGGAGCACCGCTACAAACCCCCAGCATGTAATTCGAATAGAGCAAGGAAACCATATGATCGTCAACCAACAAGAACCGAGAGCAGACAATTCGGATCGAACCGGTACAAGATATCGGAATACAGCCTCAATGTCGAGCCAACCCAGGTCGTCGCTATTATGAAGGGAATGTGATCCATTGTTAAGTGGCCAGGCAAGCTCAATCCCAAGGCAAGGAGAGATAAGACCAAATGGTGCGAGTTCCACGACAATCATGGGCACAATATCGCAGACTGCATCACCTTACGGCTAGAGGTCGCTGCACTTCTAAAGAGGGGACATCTCCGGGATTTGCTAACCGATAAGGGGAAGAACACCATTAGCCATAAGAGTTCAAAAGAACCATCACCACCTCCGCGAGAACCTACACCAAAAGGTTTCTATTCGCTCATCTCTGGAGGATCAGAGATCAGTGGAGTAAGCTACTCATCGGCCAAGCGATATGCCAAAGCCAACCACCACCATGAAGTCCAGTCCATCCATACGATCTCGCGGTCACACACTCATCAGGTAATTCAGTTTGAAGATGAAGAGTCGATTGTCTTGGCCGCTCCTCATCACGATGCCCTAGTCATCTCCCTGCAGGTCACCAACATCCTAGTAAAAAGAGTATTCGCAGATGGAGGCTCTTCAGTAAACATCCTATTTCTCAAAACAGTGACGGCTATGGGATTTGAAGAGACAAACATCAGCAGGCGGCCGACGCTGCTAGTTGTTTTCAGCTCTGAGCAGAAGTATACTATCGGGGAGATCATCCTCCCTATCTACGCCGACGGAGTTAATAAACAAACCATTTTTCTGGTAATCGACAGCCCCTCGTCATACAACATCATCTTGGGCTGACCTTGGATCCACGACATGCGGGCAGTCCCATCTACCTTCCACCAGACGATCAGATTTCCTACCAAGTGGGGGGTACAAGAGATCAAGGGTGACCCCAAAACTTCCAAGGATTGCTACAAAAATGCCTTCAAAGGTAAGGGTAACTCTTTGTAGCAATTACAATCTCATCCAACCCTACCAACTGATCCAGATCAACCATCTATGGAAGAGTTGGATGAAGTACAGATACATCTGAACGATCCAGAGAGAAAGACACACATAGGGTCTCGTCTCAAGCCCGAGACAAGAGAAAAGCTGATAGAATTCCTCAAACAGAACTAAGACTGTTTCGCCTGGTCCCACGCCGACATGACCAGAGTTAGTCCGAAAGCAATGGTCCACCAGCTTAAGATAGACCCAGATCACCTACCAGTGAAGCGGAAGAGAAGGAAATTCGCACTAGAGCGTAACCGAATCGTCAACGAAGAGGTCGAGAAGCTCTTAAGCAATGGTATGATCAAAGAAGTCCATTACCCCGAATGGTTGGCGAATGTCGTTGTCATAAAGAAAAAGAACGGGAAATGGAGAGTATGCATCGACTTCACAGACTTAAACAAAGCCTGTCCCAAGGATTCCTTCCCGCTCCCACATATCGACATGATGGTCGATGCAACCATAGGTCACGAGCTCCTTAGTTTCATGGATGCTTTCTCAGGGTACAACCAGATCTTGATGCACCTGGACGACCTAGAGAAGACAGCCTTCATCATGGAAAGGGGAACCTATTGCTATAAGGTGATGCCATTCGGCCTGAAGAATGCCAGGGCCACTTACCAGCGGCTAGTCAACAAGATGTTCGCCGAGTACCTAGGAGACACCATGGAGGTATACATCAACGACATGCTTGTCAAGTCACTGATGGCCGAACAACACCTCAACCACCTTAGCCTGGCATTTACCATCCTCAGGAAGTACAACATAAAGCTAAGTGCTCATTCGAGGTCTCGTCAGGAAAGTTCTTAGGCTCATGGTGACTCAGCGAGGGATAGAAGCCAACCCCAACCAAATCAGAGCAATCCTTGGTATACCGTCTCCAACTTGCATCAAAGACGTCCAGTGTCTCGCAGGACGTGTAACCGCCTTGAGCCGCTTCATCTCTAGGTCAGCCGACAAGTGCCATCTCTTCTTCCATGCCCCCAAGAAGTCCAAGAAGTTCGAGTGGACTGCCTCCTGCGAAAAAGCCTTGCAACAGTTGAAAAGGTACCTAACCTCCCCTCCGCTCCTCTCCTCTCCAAACCTGTGGACGGGGAGAAGCTCTACTCTTACCTAACAGTCTCAAAGACAACTATCTCAGCAGTACTAGTTTGGGAAGAAGAAACGAAGCAGTTGCCGGTCTACTATGTAAGTAAGTCACTCCTTGACGCGGAAACGCGATATAGTCAGCTGGAAAAGTTAGTTCTCGCCCTCATCCATGCATCCAGGAAGCTCAAGCCGTAATTTCAGTGCCACTTAATAGTTGTACTCACCTCCTTCCCACTCAAGAAGATACTGCACAAACTTGAACTATCAGGCCGACTCTTGCAATGGATAGTAGAGCTCAGTGAGTTTGACATAACATACTAGCCTTGCACCACCGTCAAATCCCAAGCCTTGGCCAACTTCATTGCTGATTTCACCCCGAATACCACCACCCAAGCAGAAAGTGAGTTATTATGCATGAACGGTGGATCACCATTGAAGTGGACCCTCTTAGTAGATGGCTCGAGTAACGTAAATGGAAGCGGACTTGGAGTGGTACTGGTCACGCTAGAGGGAGACATCATCCAGCAGGCAATATGGTGTGGGTTCAAGTGCACGAACAACAAAGCCGAATATGAGGCCCTCATAGTTGGACTTTCCTTAGCCAAAGAAATTGGAGCAAAGAAACTAGAAGTGAAGGCTGACTCCCAGCTCGTGGTCAATCAACTACATGGCACGTATCAAGCACGCGACTCGAAGATGACATCCTACTTGAGCATGGTCAAGGAGCTGCAGGCACAATTCGATGAGTTCTCCATCGTCCAAATCCCAAGAGCAGAGAACTCCCACGCTGATGCTCTTGCCAATCTCGGTTCAGCCCTCAAATGCTCTTCCCCCTCGTCATTCCTCTATTAATCATGCAGTGGCCTGCCAACTGGGAGGGACAACAGCCAGACAAGCTGCCCGAGGAACCCATGGGAGTTGAACTAGCTGACTACTGGAGGACTCCGATAGTGAGATACTTGGAACATGACGAACTCCCTACTGAAAAGAACGAGGCACGATGACTAAAAACAAGAGCCGCCAGATTCACCATACATGAGGGCCAACTCCTTAGAAAATCATTGTCGGGCCCCTACCTCAAGTGCATAAGCCCAGAGGAGGCCCAACGTGTCCTTGCTGAGTTACATGAAGGCGAATATGGAAACCATGTTGGGGGACGCAACCTTGTACACCGAGTGATCACTGCTGGAACTTACTGGCCGACCATGCACGCCGATTCGGCCGCTTATGTGAAGAAGTGTGACAGTTGTTAGAGGTTTGCTTATATCTCACACCTCCTACCAGAGCGACTACATTCCATCCTCACACCCTGGCCCTTTATGAAGTGGGGAATGGACATCGTGGGAAAACTACCTACTGCACCTGGACAGCGAGTCTTCATGTTAGCTGTGACAGACTACTTTACGAAGTGGATTGAAGCCGAAGCCTTTGCACAAGTTAGAGACCGAGAGGTAAAAGCCTTCTTCTGGAAGAATGTCATTTGCAGGTTCGGGATACCGAAGGAGATCGTCACCGATAATGGATCCCAGTTCATCAGCTCAAGCTTCAGGGATTTCTGTGACATGTAGGGGATAAAGTTGAGCTTCTTAACCCCTTGCAACCACCCGTCTAACAGCCAAGCCGAGTCGTCAAACAAGACCATCATTCAGACACTAAAGAAGCAGTTACAGAAAGCCAAGGGTGCATGGGCAGATGAGCTACCCAGAGTCCTCTGGTCATACCGAACCACAGCTTGCTCGTCAACAGGTAAGACCCCATTCTCCCTCATATACTGTTCGGAAGCAGTAATCCCAGCTGAAGTGTCAGTCCCGTCCACCAGGCTCCAGTGAGCGGACGAGGAATCAAACGACCAGAACCTTTGCCAGAACCTAGACACCATCGACGAGCTACGCAAATGGGCTAGCATCCGTAATGCAGTCTATTAGCAACAGGCCGCCAGACATTACAACCGCAACGTGAGGATCTGGACTTTCAAGATAGGCAACTAGGTCCTCCGCAAGGTCTTTCAAAACACTGAGGAGGTCAACTCTGGCAAACTCGGCCCCACTTGGGAAGGCCCGTATAAGATAACTAAAGAAGCAGGGAAGGGCGCCTACAAACTCCAGACCCCCGAGGGCAAAGGCATCGGTAATAGTTGGAATGCCATTCACCTCAAGTGCTACTACTTCTAGGTGAACTTAATCTTTTTTCTATTTTTTCCTTGTTTATTTTTAAAGGGATGAGTGGGCCTATCCACCTCCTCTTCGACAGTCAGCCTCATGGCCAAATATTAATAAAGTACTATTCAGAAATCTTACATCTCCAAATCGACTCCGATCGATCGATTATTGTTTACACCTTCAAATCAGCCCTGTCCGATCCATGATTTTACACCTTCGAATCGACTCAGCTCGGGTCACGAAAACACCTTCAAATCGGCCCTGTCCGATCCACGATTTCGCACCTTCGAATCGACCCCGTTCGGTTCATGAAAACACCTTCGAATCGACCCCGTTCGGTTCACGAATACACTTTCGAATCAACCCAGCTCGGTTCAACACCTTCGAATCGACCCCATTCAGTTCACAAAAACACCTTTGAATCGACCTAGCTCGGTTCATGAAAACACCTTCGAACCGACCCCGTTTGGTTCACGAAAACACATTCGAATCTACCTCGCTTGGTTCACGAAAACATCTTCAAATCGACCTCGCTTGGTTCACGGGATCATCTTCGATCGGCCCAGCCCAATCCACAAAGAGATGCCATCAAATCGGCTCAGCCCGACCTATGATTCGCACCTTCGAGTCAGACCCGTCCGACCCAAGAACTCATACCTCCGGGTTCACTTCATCCAATCCAAGGCTTAATACTCGGTCGGCCAAACCGAATGAATGGTTCTTACACCAGCAATAAGCGAAACACCAACCTAGCCCAACATAAGGCTTACATGCCTTAGCCGCTAGGTCACACTGAAGAAACAAACACAACCTGGTGCATCTACAAGAAAAGAAACAATGAAGTCATTCATCCATAAAGAAAGCATCAGCAGTTAGAACAACCGAATATAATAACAGATGGCCTCAAAGGGCTCAGTTCAAAATACAAAAGAACGGCACATGCCAAGAAAAAAGGCATCGCAAGCCCCAAAATACAGGAAGAAACTAGGCTAACTATCCTCAGTACGAGTCGCCTCCTCCATCTCCGACTCAGTCATAATGTCTGCACCACCAGTACCCATCCTAGCAGCCCGGTCGCTCACATCCCCAACATCCGATGGCCCCGACTGACTAGCAAGGTCAAGCATTAGTTCCTTGTCTTGGAAACCTGGATGACCGACTCCCTCTTCCAGCAACTACCGCATGAGCTGGATGTCTTCGTCTGGATCCCAGTGAGAAGTCTTCCCTTCCTTGAACTCAAGCATGAGTTCACCGCGGGCCTTGATGATAGCGTCATCGGCAATGGAAATACACTGCTCCCTCAGAGACTCAATCTCTGCGGTCTTCTCGGCCAACTCACGCCTTAACTGCTCCAACTCACGCCTTAACTGCTCCAACTCACGCTCACTATCCCTCAGACGCTACTAAAACTCTTGTTCGGCCTTCTGGGCCGCCGTCTCCTTTTGGCACAGGCTGGTGTTGGCCTTGGATACATCCTGTATCCGTTTCTCCTACGCCACGACAGACTTCCTCAGATGAAGACTGCTAGTGAGTACTTGCACAACAAAATGTTGCCATCAG